TATTTATCATATGATAACTTCAATTTTGAAATAAAAAAGGGGGGTGCCCATGCTCATTAAGGAGCAGTGAGGCATTGAAAATGCCCCATTTTGGCATTGTTTAATGCTTATTATAAGAACGCATTCCCAGTACTTGTAACATGTTTGTGAGCCTGGGCTCATAAGAATGCGCATTAAACTACAGTCAATACATTGTGTTGGACACAAATAAACGTTTTAAGTTTGATTCAGACAGAAAACTAAATCCTTGGTTAAAAATTTGAACTAAATTTCTTGACGTGGTTACCGACTGCCAAATAGAAAAGACCACCGTGTATCTGCTATTTTTCTTATTTACTCAATATTCAGCAATAGAAATTAGATCAGTCTTTTCTCACGCAAAGCTTATGATTAGTTGACTACAATGCGTGGAAAAAAATTGGGGTGCCCGTGGTCGTTGGTGAGCCAGAGCCATTTTTCAACTGACAGAGCTCAATATCAAGGCAAATCTGTCATGTTTTCAATGTGCGCGTGCACGAGCGCACGCTAATGACGCCATAAATTATGCACAGTAAGGATGCGCAATGCAAATGTGAGGAATGACCTTAAAGTCTAAACAGCGCCTTGTGCAATTTAAAGACAAAATATACAAAAATCAATGAATGGGCATTGTATGTTGCAAAAAACAACAACAACAAAAAAAAGAGAGGGACTTGGGGACTATCTAGACCTATAAACAGTGGTGATGTGCTTGCTGTAGTTAGGACCTTGTGGTGTTTCTGGTCTTTTCACCTTGTTAGCTGTTTGAGGTGTCTGCATCAACTTTGGGAACAACTTTTAACAAGCTGTCACAACAGTGAAGCTTTTTCTGTAGTATATTGCATTCATCATTGAGACGCTTTCTCTTGGTAAACAGTTCTTCTCTTTCTTCTGCTTTTCTCTTCACCTGCTTCCTTAATTCTTCTACTTCAAGTAGCATTTCCTCAATTTTACTCTTTTTCTCTTCAATCTCCTTCTCGCTGCTTTCCAGTTCATTGTTTGTTTCTACAAGGTAAAAATAATTCCTTCCTTCAGGATCCTTTCAAGCTTATCCAAGAGCAACATTTTCAGTCTGCTGTCAGATTGAGCTGGGTTACTGAAATGGGTTGCAGTTGCATGTTCTGCCATCAGCTATTAAATTATGCTATTCAATTAATAATAAAACTGTCAAAGGAGTTCTGAGTTCCTTTTGTCCACAGAACCCCTGATTTGAACTTTTGTCTCCTCTCATTGGAAAGGTTAAGACTTGATAAAAATGATACCAACTGTGCTGTACCTTGAAGGAAAAAGTACATGTTTAAAACTTTAAATGATTAATGATGAATCATACATTTTTTATGCTCATTTAAATCACATTGTTATTGTGAAATGTTCATTCTTACATATAACCAGCAATATTTTGCACTTGCCTTGGATCAAGATGTTCAGGATTACTTTGATATTCATGACAAAATTCAGGACAACACAAAGTCAATCAGGGATTCAGAAAGTCATAAGTCACAACTAATTTGTATAGATAAGCTCACAAGTATGGTGTGATATGAAAACACAGGTGACCTCCCATACTCACGTATCCTAATAGTGCCACACAAATAACAAAGCTGGCTCTGGTGAGTTTGACAGCTGTTCTGCCTCTTTGTCAAAACAAGTCTTCATGCAAAACCATTCATATGGAAATGTGTTCTGCATACATGTTCATTAACAACTTCAGACGCTTACATAAGTACACAATAAAGTTGACAACCATTTGGCAGTAAAAGGGACTAAGGTTGTTGGGTACTCCCTGGCAAATCTAAGGGTGGCAACAACACACCCTGTAAATAGGTACATGATAATAGGGGTGGTAGCAACACACCCTGCATGTGATGGATGAGCCAACAAGTGTGGCGTGTGCCACACCTGGAAATAAGGGATTAGCCAACAAGTGTGGCGCATGCCACACTCAGATAGATATAAGCCTGAGGTGGGGTCAGGGTCCCACCCAGTCTGCTACGTGCAAAGCTAAGTGGCAGGTGTGCACCCAACCCTGTAGTCCAGCTGCTTATTGATAATGGCCGTGGGAAGTGGGGAAAATACAGACAAATCGCAAACTAGCTACTTGCACAAGTGAGAGTCATGACAACACAAGGCGTTGTTCGGTATGAGAACAGGCAAGCAGTAATTATAAATGATAACTTCATATCGTTTATCTTGTATCCATTACACATAATAATAGAGTTTTGTTTAGGCTGCCTGCATTCCGACACGCAAACCGGGATTAAGCATATAGGGCAAAGAAATTAATAGATCACAATTATTCTTGTTGAATGTAATTGTTATTGTAGTTCCAAGGACAGAGTAATGTTTATCTCACACACATCGAAGAGCAATGTCTGCTCATGTAAATGTCTTTCATGACTTAACCACAAGTGTTGACAGTTGTTAAACCTAGTCAAACATTGAGTTGCAGTATAGTGTGACTAAAGGAATGATACACATGTGTGATATCCTTGTCATGCTTTAAGTTGTTAACTCCATTTTACAAGTAAAATTACCATTTTCACATAAATCAAACTCATTTCCATAAGAAAGATTTTGCACGATGGTTCATTTTGAAACAGAGGCAAAAGGTAACTCGGAAATGGCCTATTAACCTAGGACTGGAATCTGTTTCAGGGTGCTTCAAAAAATTGCCAAAACAAAAACATAATATTGTCTATTATTAAGTAATTTGATTTAATTTGTACAAAACAAGGCTGAAAATTTAAAGACCTTGTTTGCTTTAGTTAAGAATCCAGACAGCAAGATTGCACACTCAGATTACTATATACCTTTAACCATTTCCAGCTTATCTGTTAGCACATGTTCATCTTGGGCTCTTTTCTTCTCTGCAATCTCTGCTAAGTTTCCTAGCAGCCCTGCTCCCTTTAACAAATTAACAACTGAGCTTGCGAAGTCATTGGTAGTTCCATTATGAAGCAGTTCTAAAATGATAGAAGTGTGAGGTAGCATTAAACAGTGTTATCAACTCCTATCTCACCAAGCTGCACATTTATGGTTAATTCCTTTGGGGTGATCTGGATCAGAATTAGTGATCCAAGATCACTCAGATCATGGTGCATCAAAGGAACTGATAAATTCACTCTCATTACGCATTTGTTGGCTTTTTTGATACGTCATGACCTGAGTGATCTTTGATCACTGATCCTGATCCAGATCACCCCAAAGGAACGCACCCTCTAATAGATCTCAAAATCTCAGTCTCAGAAGGTACCAGCTTCAGATTGTACATAACCTTTGTTTCACATTTCAATGGACACTTGCAACATTGTGGTTCCAAAAAAACATCCACTGACCCACCCCAAGGAGGGTTTACTTATTAGAAATTAACCCAAGCTTTTGATATGGATTCAAGCATGCAAACCTTTCAGTCACCATTTTGCTCACAAGGGCAATATGTCAGATGCATACACCCAAATGTTATATGGCAAATTATGGGTAGTAGACACTTCTTGTTTCATAATGAGAAAGTAGACTACATCAATAGAAAAGGGTTCAAACAACTCAGTTAGGGTGGTATTTTAGATCAATATATACCTCGCGAGGATGTGATTTCACCCATGGATTCCTGTCTGCACTTTTCACACTATTGAAGAGAAAAAAAATGTTACACTGACGACCAGAAACACACAAACCTGTGCTTAGGCCACATATCACACAAACTGAGGACCCATTTTCAAGAGGCCAGTTTCAGTATGTTAAAATTCTAACTTGGCTCCAGAGCTTAGGGAAACAAAACAAAAGAAATCACATAATTGAGGTTGAGGGATGAATAATAAAATAATATTGAAGCATTTTAATTTATTCACCTAAGCCTTGGAGCCAAGTTGAAATTTTAATCTACTGAAATTGGCCCTCTTGAAGAAGTAAAGACAAGCAGCATATCTGATCTAAGGTTTCAGCAAGATCTCTTACATGTCACCTCCCCAGACCTGCCAGGTCAGCTGGTTTCAGATTCTGCCAAGCATCTCCCAGTAGATAATCGTGATGGTATCATCGTGGTAAATTAGCACAACCTAGCAGCTGTTTTTCCTTTATTTACAACAGTGACTTTTTATAGTATTCCTGTGTTTTTATTGGGGCTCTGGGTTTCAACAGAGATCTCTTGGTTTGCCTTACTTATTTCCTGATATTCTCCAGCTTATATCTGTAGATTGGCCGCTGTGTGACTCTATCAGTCTGTCACCCAAGTTATTAAGTATTACCCGTATTTTGCATTTGGTTATGATATATTTATCAATTTTACTCAGAATGCATCACTTACGTGAAGGCTTCATTAACTCCAGGTCTGTCCCCATTTATTTTTAAAGTTTATATTAATTTTACACTCCCTTTATATTGTGAAGTTCAATTCAATTTACACTCCCCTCGATTCAATTCAATTAAAACCTGATCCTGCATTTTGCAGTATTGAAAAGACCTTGCAACAGCTTGAGTGTCACTTTGTTCACAGTTTCTGACCAGTGAGGCTTCCTGCCATGCATGACTCGACTTCTGCTCGAGCCATGCTGAAAGTCTGCATTCTTATTAAAATCAGTCTTCGGTAATATTGAATGGGTAGAAAATCTCACGTCAAAAACAAGTCGCTCTTGGACGACAAACTTTATGAACTTCAAAAATATGAAAAATTTACCGGCGTTTAACGGTTGCTTTATTAACCCGCCGACCAACACTTGCCGAGGAAGCATTTTCAATCACATATAAAAAGCTCAGTTCACAAGCGAATGGACCCTCACGTGCAAAGAGAACTTCAAACTGTGTTGCATGGCAGCAAAAGGTTCAATCTTCGCTGCACAAAGCATAACAAAAGATTTTGAACGTAAGCTTATAAACGAGCGTTCACATCTCAACGGTCGTTTTAACGCAATCTTACAAGCTTACTTTTATAATGATGGGCTCATGGTGTCGGTTGCACGGACAGTTCGTGTCAAAGCAAATCGATTTCAGATTGTCCCTCTCAGGGCTTGGAATCTGCCTAGTAGAGAAAACACGGCGGCTCTCAAGACAGAAAGCTTCTAAACTGAGGTAAAGCAATCGTGAATAAATGTTTTGTAAATAGTAAACTGATAAATATTCATTCTTCATCACACTTACTGCTGTGCGTCCACCATCTTGTAGTATAGGGCGAGGACTGGGAACGACAAGTTTCCCGCGTTTTTTGCGACATGAAACCGTCATGGCAGTTGTATGACAGTTGAAGTGGCGTTACACTTTGGTTCTGCAGTGGATTTCTTTGTACTCTAACACAATTGATACGACGCTGTCCGAAAGGGCCTTTGATTTGTATAAACCGCATTGTCTCCTCGATCACCTTTCAAAATGAAAGTCATTGATCGACAAAGGGTACCCGTGTCGAAACAGCGATTTGTATTGTACCCACCTTGGTCCACCTCCAGTTCACTAAACTATGGCTAACGTAAACAGGAGCGCATTTCACTTCCGGTATTTTTACAAAAACGATTCGATCTGACTTGATCTGGCCCGTTCTGACCCTGACTGGCAATCGATTTTTGTTATTTATACCTGTTCTCTTATTCTCAGGAAGTGTGCATTGTTATTTTTCTTATGTTAGGCTTGATTTTAGTTTTTTGGGACTTAGGTATTTACGACCCTTTATCAAAAATACTTTCCTAAAACAGACTGTCACAGTTATAATACCATTTCAGGAACGTTTACGCGGCTCTGTGTTAAATAAAGCCAGCTTTAAGCTAAACTGATCTGTTGTTTATAGTTGCCTCATTTCTTGTTTTGAAATTACAGTGATAGCATCCGGGGTGGGTACTCCCAGAAAAATTGGGTGAGGGTGTACAGCCCGCCCCCCAAAACCCTTTCCCTATTTAAGACCAAAGTCTGCGATTTTCCCTTTCCTTATTTATGACCCGACTCTTAAGTCAATACCCTGTTTCAGACCTGCCTTATAATTAGTTCCCCAGTTCAGACCAATATTAAACCTATGGGGGGGGGGGGNCTGGTATATTGTGTGATATAAACCTATCTAGCCATATTCCCATCCCAATAAACCCTTTTCAAGTTGCTCTTTTCTCTTAATTCGTAAGACAATGAACATGCAAGAAAATCATATTTTCATTTAAAAGGTTGTGCACCAAGACTTGTTTCAAAACAGAGGCAAAAGCAACTTGGAATTGGCCCACTTAATGGCTGTAGGTGCATTAAATAGAAAAAAGAAACAAATTCCACTTACTGGAGATACCATCTCTTGCTTGATGTGGACAATACAAGAGTATGGATGTATTCCTGGAGTCTGAACACCAATAGCACATGCTGGATAGTGATCTGCCAGTTCACTTTCATTATCTGAAGGGATCTCCTCTCTATAATCTGACAAGGCAGTATCACTTTCCTCATATGGGTCATGGCAAGCTGCTGGTGGGGTCTCCACAATGGTGTTTAAATTACCAGAAGGAACATCCCCAGTACCAGAAAGGCCATTATCTGTAATAACAGAAGAGGCTTCATCTGTAGCACCAGCAGGGGCATCATCTGGCACATCAGCAGGGGCATTATCTGGAACACCAGCTGGGCCATTATCTGGGACACCAGACGGTGCATTATCTGTAACACCAGCAGGGGCAGTATCTGTAACAACAGCAGGGGCAGTATCTGTAACAACAGCAGGGGCATTAACTGGGACACCAGCAGGGACATTATCTGGGACACCAACAGAGGCATTATCTGTAACACCACCAGGGGCAGTATCTGGGACTCCAGCCGAGGCATTATCTGGGACACAAGCAAGGGCATTATCTGGGACACCAAAAGGGTCTCTATCTGTGTCACTGGAAAAGGACTCATCTCCAACCTCAGAAGGGGCACTTTCTGTGTCACTAGAAGGAGAATTGTTGGCAACACCAGGAGTGTCATCTGTGGCACCACATCGGGCATCATCTTTGACACCAGATGGGCCATCATCTGTAACATCAGCAGGAGAATCACTTGTGACACAAGAAGAGGGATCATCTATGTCACTAGAGGGAACATCACTTGGTTTGTCTGTATGGGCCTCCTCAGAAGAACCAGTAGGCACCTCATCTTCAGTGACACCAAAAGGTACCTCATCAGAAGCTTCTTCTTCAGTGGTACTAAAAGAAGAGTCTTCTGCGCACTCTAGGGCTGAGCCATCTGTGTCAAGTGAGGAAGTGCCCTTAGGAAGACTGTAAGAATGTTCAACATGGATCTGCTTCTTCTGGGAATTCTCAAGTCTTTCGGGATTCACTGGTGACTCAGGAGGACTATCAGTGGTGTAAATGCTACTGTCATAACGCGAAGAATGCCGGGAGTTTTTCTCAGCAGTTGACAGGGTCTTAATGACACGTGTGCAACCATTATTCATTGCTATATTCAGGGGGGTCAATTTCTTTTTATTCCTTACTGATATGTCTCCTCCAGCATCAACTATGGCACGAAGGGAGACCAACCCAATCTCATTTTGTGCAAGATAATGTAGTGCTGTGTTGCCATGCAAGTCCCTGGCATTCAATATTTCTGCCGTCTTTGCAGGCATTTGTGCTGCTTTTGCCACCATTTGCCCTAAGCACTCCTCATAATAGTCTGACTTATTGCCAGTTATAAGCTTTGTTGCAGCTGCATGAAGAGGTGTTTGCAAGGCCTTATCCTGGAGTGGCAGACAATCTTGCAGCAAGTTTATCATCTGCCTAATCTTTTCCTTAAGACGTCGTATTTTAGTATAGTGTAAACAGAGAACACATCGATGCAGAGCAGTTTCTTGAGTGTCTGATGAGCGAACTGTGGTACTGAAACCTACAAAAGTTATAAAAAGACATTAATCTTAACCTTTTCAGTCCACAGCTTGTACTATTTAGGTCCTGTGGATATGCTCATGCCGTTATAGCTTTCTGATGTGTTTTTAAAAATATTGTAAACAGTTTTAAAGTCCTACTATGATGAAATTCACATCTTTCCTATCTCAGCCATTTTAAAGCATAAACGAGTAGTATGTTCGAGAAGAAAAATGCTGTTTACTTTTTTCAAATGTCTCTTTTCATTCCAGGGATTATATGCAAATTGGCCAAGTGATGACATCATAAACTCAACCAAATTTTGATCAATATGATGAAGAAAGATATTTCAGCCAATTTGCATCAAAAATGTTTAAATCTTTGCAGTGAGATTCTACTAAATGTGCTCCACAACAGGAGCTTGACAGGGCTCGAAATTAACTTTTTTGTTTATGAGCCAAGTGGCGACTGATCCTAAAATTTTCGTCACCAGATTGTAATTTTGGGTTGCCATTTTTTTCACTGATTTTCTCCTTGTTCAGTATTTTCCTGANCCAACAAGTGTGGCGTGTGCCACACCTGGAAATAAGGGATTAGCCAACAAGTGTGGCGCATGCCACACTCAGATAGATATAAGCCTGAGGTGGGGTCAGGGTCCCACCCAGTCTGCTACGTGCAAAGCTAAGTGGCAGGTGTGCACCCAACCCTGTAGTCCAGCTGCTTATTGATAATGGCCGTGGGAAGTGGGGAAAATACAGACAAATCGCAAACTAGCTACTTGCACAAGTGAGAGTCATGACAACACAAGGCGTTGTTCGGTATGAGAACAGGCAAGCAGTAATTATAAATGATAACTTCATATCGTTTATCTTGTATCCATTACACATAATAATAGAGTTTTGTTTAGGCTGCCTGCATTCCGACACGCAAACCGGGATTAAGCATATAGGGCAAAGAAATTAATAGATCACAATTATTCTTGTTGAATGTAATTGTTATTGTAGTTCCAAGGACAGAGTAATGTTTATCTCACACACATCGAAGAGCAATGTCTGCTCATGTAAATGTCTTTCATGACTTAACCACAAGTGTTGACAGTTGTTAAACCTAGTCAAACATTGAGTTGCAGTATAGTGTGACTAAAGGAATGATACACATGTGTGATATCCTTGTCATGCTTTAAGTTGTTAACTCCATTTTACAAGTAAAATTACCATTTTCACATAAATCAAACTCATTTCCATAAGAAAGATTTTGCACGATGGTTCATTTTGAAACAGAGGCAAAAGGTAACTCGGAAATGGCCTATTAACCTAGGACTGGAATCTGTTTCAGGGTGCTTCAAAAAATTGCCAAAACAAAAACATAATATTGTCTATTATTAAGTAATTTGATTTAATTTGTACAAAACAAGGCTGAAAATTTAAAGACCTTGTTTGCTTTAGTTAAGAATCCAGACAGCAAGATTGCACACTCAGATTACTATATACCTTTAACCATTTCCAGCTTATCTGTTAGCACATGTTCATCTTGGGCTCTTTTCTTCTCTGCAATCTCTGCTAAGTTTCCTAGCAGCCCTGCTCCCTTTAACAAATTAACAACTGAGCTTGCGAAGTCATTGGTAGTTCCATTATGAAGCAGTTCTAAAATGATAGAAGTGTGAGGTAGCATTAAACAGTGTTATCAACTCCTATCTCACCAAGCTGCACATTTATGGTTAATTCCTTTGGGGTGATCTGGATCAGAATTAGTGATCCAAGATCACTCAGATCATGGTGCATCAAAGGAACTGATAAATTCACTCTCATTACGCATTTGTTGGCTTTTTTGATACGTCATGACCTGAGTGATCTTTGATCACTGATCCTGATCCAGATCACCCCAAAGGAACGCACCCTCTAATAGATCTCAAAATCTCAGTCTCAGAAGGTACCAGCTTCAGATTGTACATAACCTTTGTTTCACATTTCAATGGACACTTGCAACATTGTGGTTCCAAAAAAACATCCACTGACCCACCCCAAGGAGGGTTTACTTATTAGAAATTAACCCAAGCTTTTGATATGGATTCAAGCATGCAAACCTTTCAGTCACCATTTTGCTCACAAGGGCAATATGTCAGATGCATACACCCAAATGTTATATGGCAAATTATGGGTAGTAGACACTTCTTGTTTCATAATGAGAAAGTAGACTACATCAATAGAAAAGGGTTCAAACAACTCAGTTAGGGTGGTATTTTAGATCAATATATACCTCGCGAGGATGTGATTTCACCCATGGATTCCTGTCTGCACTTTTCACACTATTGAAGAGAAAAAAAATGTTACACTGACGACCAGAAACACACAAACCTGTGCTTAGGCCACATATCACACAAACTGAGGACCCATTTTCAAGAGGCCAGTTTCAGTATGTTAAAATTCTAACTTGGCTCCAGAGCTTAGGGAAACAAAACAAAAGAAATCACATAATTGAGGTTGAGGGATGAATAATAAAATAATATTGAAGCATTTTAATTTATTCACCTAAGCCTTGGAGCCAAGTTGAAATTTTAATCTACTGAAATTGGCCCTCTTGAAGAAGTAAAGACAAGCAGCATATCTGATCTAAGGTTTCAGCAAGATCTCTTACATGTCACCTCCCCAGACCTGCCAGGTCAGCTGGTTTCAGATTCTGCCAAGCATCTCCCAGTAGATAATCGTGATGGTATCATCGTGGTAAATTAGCACAACCTAGCAGCTGTTTTTCCTTTATTTACAACAGTGACTTTTTATAGTATTCCTGTGTTTTTATTGGGGCTCTGGGTTTCAACAGAGATCTCTTGGTTTGCCTTACTTATTTCCTGATATTCTCCAGCTTATATCTGTAGATTGGCCGCTGTGTGACTCTATCAGTCTGTCACCCAAGTTATTAAGTATTACCCGTATTTTGCATTTGGTTATGATATATTTATCAATTTTACTCAGAATGCATCACTTACGTGAAGGCTTCATTAACTCCAGGTCTGTCCCCATTTATTTTTAAAGTTTATATTAATTTTACACTCCCTTTATATTGTGAAGTTCAATTCAATTTACACTCCCCTCGATTCAATTCAATTAAAACCTGATCCTGCATTTTGCAGTATTGAAAAGACCTTGCAACAGCTTGAGTGTCACTTTGTTCACAGTTTCTGACCAGTGAGGCTTCCTGCCATGCATGACTCGACTTCTGCTCGAGCCATGCTGAAAGTCTGCATTCTTATTAAAATCAGTCTTCGGTAATATTGAATGGGTAGAAAATCTCACGTCAAAAACAAGTCGCTCTTGGACGACAAACTTTATGAACTTCAAAAATATGAAAAATTTACCGGCGTTTAACGGTTGCTTTATTAACCCGCCGACCAACACTTGCCGAGGAAGCATTTTCAATCACATATAAAAAGCTCAGTTCACAAGCGAATGGACCCTCACGTGCAAAGAGAACTTCAAACTGTGTTGCATGGCAGCAAAAGGTTCAATCTTCGCTGCACAAAGCATAACAAAAGATTTTGAACGTAAGCTTATAAACGAGCGTTCACATCTCAACGGTCGTTTTAACGCAATCTTACAAGCTTACTTTTATAATGATGGGCTCATGGTGTCGGTTGCACGGACAGTTCGTGTCAAAGCAAATCGATTTCAGATTGTCCCTCTCAGGGCTTGGAATCTGCCTAGTAGAGAAAACACGGCGGCTCTCAAGACAGAAAGCTTCTAAACTGAGGTAAAGCAATCGTGAATAAATGTTTTGTAAATAGTAAACTGATAAATATTCATTCTTCATCACACTTACTGCTGTGCGTCCACCATCTTGTAGTATAGGGCGAGGACTGGGAACGACAAGTTTCCCGCGTTTTTTGCGACATGAAACCGTCATGGCAGTTGTATGACAGTTGAAGTGGCGTTACACTTTGGTTCTGCAGTGGATTTCTTTGTACTCTAACACAATTGATACGACGCTGTCCGAAAGGGCCTTTGATTTGTATAAACCGCATTGTCTCCTCGATCACCTTTCAAAATGAAAGTCATCGATCCACAAAGGGTACCCGTGTCGAAACAGCGATTTGTATTGTACCCACCTTGGTCCACCTCCAGTTCACTAAACTATGGCTAACGTAAACAGGAGCGCATTTCACTTCCGGTATTTTTACAAAAACGATTCGATCTGACTTGATCTGGCCCGTTCTGACCCTGACTGGCAATCGATTTTTGTTATTTATACCTGTTCTCTTATTCTCAGGAAGTGTGCATTGTTATTTTTCTTATGTTAGGCTTGATTTTAGTTTTTTGGGACTTAGGTATTTACGACCCTTTATCAAAAATACTTTCCTAAAACAGACTGTCACAGTTATAATACCATTTCAGGAACGTTTACGCGGCTCTGTGTTAAATAAAGCCAGCTTTAAGCTAAACTGATCTGTTGTTTATAGTTGCCTCATTTCTTGTTTTGAAATTACAGTGATAGCATCCGGGGTGGGTACTCCCAGAAAAATTGGGTGAGGGTGTACAGCCCGCCCCCCAAAACCCTTTCCCTATTTAAGACCAAAGTCTGCGATTTTCCCTTTCCTTATTTATGACCCGACTCTTAAGTCAATACCCTGTTTCAGACCTGCCTTATAATTAGTTCCCCAGTTCAGACCAATATTAAACCTAT